CGGTTTTAGACTTTTTTAGCCCAAAAGTCACAATTTTTTGTTGGGTAATAAACACCAATGTCTGACCAGCTCTATGCTTCTCTGTCTTGTAAAGTGCTGAGTGCTGCAAAGGTATATAGATTGGTGCAGGAGTGGGAGCAAAGTATGTTAGGTTCATGAAGGTGAATGATACTTTATACACAACAGAGTCTTTGATATCTTGCTACTTGTTGAGAATTCAGTTAAAATTATTTTACTCCTCTTCCAGACAGCACTTTAAATTGTTTCATCTCCTCTGTGTTCTTAGTGTATCTTTCATAAGTGACTCTCACCTCTCATCTTTAAGGCTTTCAGTTCCATCAGCCTTGTGTACTCGTCTTTCTCATTTATTGCTGTGGAATCAATTGACCTAGCCACTGCTCTCACCTATGTAGCATTTTCACATCCTCCTGACCTCTGAAGTGCTTTTCCACCATCTCCATTCTGATTTCTTTTCTTATGTGTTTGCTGCACTGACTCCCACACTACAGGTCTTGCAGCCTGTTGCACTTTTCATGCTTTGCAAGCCCTCTTCTTTGACTATGTTTTTCCGTTTCACACCCCTCTTTTCCTTCCCTTGATTTCAGAGATACAGGGCCAAATTGTCCATTACCCAGGAAATAATCTGCATAGGGGAGAGGAAGTTCCTGGAGGTTCACCATGCGAAGATTTGGTCCTAGTTTCTGTTTATGTGCTTTTTCTGCTGAATAGTGTGGAGATGTACTATTCGGTTTGCTACACTTGCTGATGACAACACAATTTACTTGCCTCTACCTTGCTCATTACAGCCCAGCTCCCATTAGTTTCCCCAGCAGCTGTTCAAGAAACATCACATCTAAAGTAAAGATTATTCTGAATATGAAGGGATAGCTTGCTTGAAATATTACCAATATTTTGTAACAGAAAATCCCTGCATGTCTGCAGGGGGATGATAGTGGACAGTATCCATTTCCATCTCATATGGCCCTTGCCTTTCCCCACTACAAGCATAGAGCCCGCTTCCTGCAGGGGCAGAGGCTGGGACTGACTTTGGCAGGATTGGCAGACAGAGGAGAAAGCTGCCGGTTAGTCTTCTTGTCCTCTTCATCATGCAGAGCATTCAATATTGTAGTACAGCTATTGGGGTACAACTAGACTGCAGAGTTTTTCCAGGATAATGGAGGGATCCCAGAAAAGCTCCGCCACATCCAAGGAATGTGTCTGCTTTTCCAAAAATTTTTTGGAAAAGCAGACACATTTTTTCAGCATCCCTATAAACCTCATTCTATAAGGAAGAAGGGATGTTCTGAAAGAGGCTCCCCCCCCCAACGTTTGGCCAGTGTAGACTGACTAATTGTCGGAAAGGCCTCTTTTGGAAGAAAAGTGGAAAAAGATACGCAAATTGCAGTTCGCAATTTGTGCATCTTTTCCTAATAGAACTTTGTAGTCTAGACACAGCCTCAGGGAGGGTTAGTAACCTCAGAATTGGTATCTGTCCGACTATGATGAGATGAGGTTCCTGTAACATCTAAAGTTGTAGAATACACCAGTTAACATGCAACCCCAGTGGATGACGATTTTTCCACAAGTGATTTATGGGTTGATGGGCCCTGGTAGTGCTGTGGGAAAGTGCATTTAATTTTGTATAGTTAAATTTACCTCTGTTTATAATTCAAAGCAGCATCATATGCCTCCCTTTGCTTTGGTTTATTCTGAGTCTCCTCTTACAATCCCTTCTCATAGGTAAAGAACATGTCTGATATCTTCTGACTAACTTGAATGAATTAAAGTCAGTGGGGCCTATTGCTGTTCACTCCAAGGTGCTGAAGGGATTAGCTGAAGAAATCTCAGAACTATTGGCAATAAGATTTGCAAACTCCTAGATGACAGGAGAGGTTTCATAAGACTTGAGAAGGGCTAGTATAATGCCCATTTTTAACAATGGGAAAAGGGGGAGCTGGTGAACTATAGATCAATTAGCCTGACCTCAATACCTGGGAAGCTATTAATGCAATATATAAGACATTCGGTTTGCAAATACCTGGAGAATGAAGAGATGATCACTACAACCAGCATGCATGTATTTACAAAGAATATATCATGCTAAACCAGCTTGGTTTCTTTCTTTGCCAGGGTAACTGATTGGTGGACAGGGGGAATGTGGTGGCCATAATATACCTGGACTTTAGTGAGACTTTTGATATAATTTCACACATGACGTTCTCACACATAATATGGAGATATTTCAGGCTTGTCAGGACTACCATTAAGTGGATGCATAACTGATTTAACAACCACAAACAATGAATAACTGTAAATGGAATGATGTCAGATTGGAAGGAAGTCTTCAGTGGGGTTCGACCAGGATTTGTTTTGCATTCATTCTTAATTAACATCTTTATTAAAGATCTGTCTGTAAGTCTAGGTAAGCATATTGATCGAATTTGAAGACAACACAAAACTGGGAGGGAGGGGTTGCCAACCCTTTGGAGGATCAAGCTAAAATTCAAAGGGTTTTTGATAAATTGTTGAATTTCCTTTTTGTTTTCCACAACCCACTTCTCCAAAGACACATGTAAGGTGCTATGCTTAGGGAAGAAAGACCAAATGCACAGGGAATGGAGGATAACTGGCGTGGCAGTAGCACTGCTGAGAAGGATCTGGGCAGAAGCGACTGGTACCTGCTGATAGTGGTAGGGCACAATTTAAAGATTCTGGTGACATGCAGCAGGGCTCATGGCAGGTACTCAAGAGACAAAGGCATTTTGGTTTCTAGAGCTACTTTTGATGTCATGTTTTATGATATGTAACAGCACATGGAGACTGTTATAAAAGAGAGCAACACATGAAGAAGCTCTTTATTGCACGGAAGTATTATATCAATTTGAAGAAGTGGGATAAAGAATCAGGGATAAAGAAACCTTGGGGATACACAGAGGTCTTCCCGGGCATATGGCAACACATCTAGATATTTTCCTCACTTTGCAACAGGCTACATAAGAAGCACTATCAAAGTCAATACAAATTAAAATGTCATATAGGGTATGTCCAGACTACAGGGCTTTTTCAAACAAAAATTCCCCTGCATCTAGACTGCTGCTGGTTCTTTCGTAAGTAAATCAAAAGAACACAACAGTTTTTTGGACCATGGAAAACCTGATTTTATGAGGAAAAATGCCTTTTTTCGAAAGTGCTCTTTCAAAAAAAGGCACTATGTAATGCAAACTTTGCTTTTTTGAAAGAGAGCATCCAGACTGCCTGGGTGCTCTCTTTCAAAAAAGTGGCTCACTTTTTTGAAAGTCCTGGCTGTAGTCTAAATGCTTTCTTTTGAAAGAGGCTTTTTCGAAAGTATTTTTCGAAAAAGCCTCTTTCGAAAGAGGCTTGTAGTCTAGACATACTCATAGACAATGGCTTGTTTATGCTGCTCTATATATACTGTTAAGGGTACGTCTAAACTACATGGCTACGTCTACACTGGCCCCATAAAACAGAATAGTCATGCAAAGCAGGTAAGTCAGAATAGGGAAATCTGCAGGGGATTTAAATATCCCCCGCGGATTTAAATAAACATGTCCGCCGCTTTTTTTCCGGCTTGGGGAAAAGCCGGAAAAAAGCATCTAGACTGGCGCGATCCTCCGGAATAAAGCCCTTTTCCGGAGGATCTCTTATTCCTACTTTCAAGTACCGTCGACGGAGGCATGTAGATTTGTGTATTCGAAAAGGGGAAATGAAGCCGCGATTAAAATAATCGCAGCTTCATTTAAATTTACAGGGCTGCCGCGCTGAGCCGACAAACAGCTGATGAGCTGTTCATGGGCTCCAGGCGCTAGTCTGGACGCTCCCCTGTCGAAATGAAAGCCTTTTATCGACATCCCCTGTAAACCTCATCCTACGAGGCATAAGGGGGATGTCGATAAAAGGCTTTCAGGTCGGCATGGCGCGTCCAGACTAGCGCGCGGAGCCAACAAACAGCTGATGAGCTGTTTGTCGGTTCAGCGCGGCAACCATGTAAATTTAAATGAAGCCGCGATCATTTAAATCGCGGCTTCATTTCCCTTTGCTATCTGTCTAATCTACATGCCTCCATTGACGGAGACATGTAGTCTAGACACACCCTTAGTGTTTCTTTGTCTGGATTGTTGACTCTAAGAAGGAGGTCATGTGATGAATGCAGAAGGGTTGCAAGTGCAGGGCTGGCTTTAGGGGGTGGCAGATAAACTTGTCACTAGAGTTGGACAGACAAAAAGCATGTATCTTGATCCATTTATTTTTCTAATATATAACACATTTTTAAAAGGGATGTGAAATTTCCTAAATTAACTTTGCAATTTTCTCTCACACAATGCACTGATGTGGTTTTTATTATTATTATTTATATTATAACAGCAGTGAGAAGTGCCAACTGAGATTAGAGCACCATTGTGCTAGATGCTGTACAAACAAATAGTGAAAGTTAGTCCCTGACAAACAGATCTTATAGTTTAAGTGGACAAAATAACTTGAAGCAAGACAGGAGTGAAGTGACTTCCACAAGGTCATAAGTGCACATTGGAAAAGCCGGGATTAGAACCCAGTTTTTTGATACCTAGTACATTGTCCAATATAGAACTAGATCATCTTGCTTTGTATTTGAAATACAGAAATAAACAATTTGCTATTATTTTTGTTAAGAAAGCTAGAAACTCTCCTTTGCTTGGAGTTTACAAGTTGTCTAGCTATGAATGAAAGAATATGCAGCAAAATGAAAAATAAAGCAATCAAAAACAAAATAGTCAATCCACAAATAAACTACTACTACTGCTTATTTAATGTAATTCACCTCTTATTAGGCCATTTAACAATATGAAAGTGTTTGTCCTTCACTGAATAAGTATTATAGAATTTCTATCTGCTCTTGTCACAAAATATAACTATTTTTTACATGCAGTGCACAAAAACCTCTGAATATATAATTCTTTACAATTTATGTTATGGCTTTGTTTCAAAAAAGTGAAATTACTCACCCTCATCCTTCCATTTCTTATTGCTGGCCCATCTTCTGCTAACCTCAGCACATACAAATCCATTTTGTACTCCCTTCCTCCTCGAATACTAAATCCAAACCCTTTGGCTCCTTTCTCCATATCAACAGTGAAATAATCGAAATCCTGAATAGATACAGAAGATAATAAAAACAAATTAACTATATGAACGAGTATGTTCACATTAATGAAAAAAAACCCAACAACCAAACCCTTTGAACATATATTTGATTGTGGAATTACCCCATATACAGTACTTCTTCAAAAATTCATTGGAAATATATTTTTACATAGGCAAGAGGTATGTACATATTTACATGGAAACAGCATGTGTGCTTGCCTTGCAAGTATGCTCCTAGAAGTGAATTCTGGAAAGAGTTGTCCTAGAAATGTGGTGTTGGCCAAGGACTTCTGGAAACCCATGTATTTAATATACTTTCTGACACATGTTCTTCTCCCACTCCTTGCAAGGAAAGGGGGAAATTTTTAACCTAAATTTGTACCAGATCCTTCAATCCTGACACCCATTAGTAAACACCAATCATGAAATCATTCCCATTCAATCAATAAACTACTAACATAAGGTTTATTTCTGGAAATAAGAATTCAAAGTTGGGCTCTGTATAAAAAGAGACATCTGGCTAATTTCTTCACAGACCATTTTTGCTGGTATAGATTATTTCCCATCAACACACATAAGATTAATGTTCTGAAAAAAGAGAAGCTTCCTTTTCAGATAAAAAGACATAGAGATATTTGTAATTTTTCTGATTATAAATAAGGTCTGTCTTCTGCAATGAAAGAAAGATGATATGTATGTAGAAATTCCATCTGAACTGATGATTTAGGGCTGGATTGTGCCTTTAAAGCACAGCCTGTAGTAAAAGAATATTTATGTTGCTTGTATATATATCGACTGAGCCATCGATCGACGGATCTCATTTTCTATGATGCTGCTGGTGAGCGACTAAGTCAATCCTCAATCGGCAAATATGATTATGGATATCACATGATTATGGATATCAGAAGAATAATGTTTTGCAAAGTGGCTTTTCCCATTATTATTTGAACTCTCCAAAATATTAAAAAAAAAATCTACTTGCTGTAACAACATTTTTATAAATAGTGTTATTTTAATGTAAAAGTAACAACACGTAAGTCTTAATGAAGCTTGAATTATTTTCTTCTGAAAAAAATTTGAATTCAGAATAAAAATGCTTAGGTTAATTTAAAGACCCTGTTTTCAGAGCTGTAATTATTTTACTTTGTACCTGGGGCTGCCTGTAATCTGACAGAGGATATTGCCTAGTGTCAGGAGAATGTTGTCTGTAATCTATTAAAGGTGGCTGCCTGTAGTCCAGAGGTGGTGGCTGCTGGTAATCCACGACAGGAGGATGTCTGTAGTCTATTGGAGGCTGTCTATAGTCTGCTGAAGGCTGTCTGTAGTCAGTAAATGGAGGTTGTCGGATGTCAGGTTTCACATCCTGTCTTGCTTTCACTTCTGACCTATAACTGAGTAAGTTAAAATGATTATTTTAGTTCTTTAAAGCTTGAGAAAGCTGCAAAATGCTAAAAGAATTTGTAGAAAGGCATTGAAAGCAAAAACTGACAGATAAAAAGCAACAGAACAGCTGCAAAATTTTTGTTAAACGGCTTCACTGAGAGGCAGATAGTGCATTCGAGATGAGCTCTTCAAAGCAAAAATTGAAGTGTCTAAAGTTAGATATTATTTTTGAAAATTTGACCCTAAGTGACTTGTCCAAGGCAGTAAAGTATAATTTCCCCATCAACCTCGGTGAAATCAAGATTGGGCCCTAAATGGCAGTGACAGGAACAGAATCCAGGAAACCTGATTCTCATGTGTCTTGTCTAACCCAGACATCAGTTTTCACACAAGACAATGTAACAGAGAGCAAAAGATAGAATTTGTTGATTGCTTTTCTTGAACTTAGATTGCAATAGACTAAATACAATTTGAAAACATTTGAAAAGATTCAGAGGTTTACAACTCATATATTTTACTAATCTAAAAGCTTATTTTTTGTGAGCTCTCAAATTTAGAAACAGGCATTTATTTGTACCAGCCATTATCTGGCTAATAAAAAGAAATTAAATGGTTGATACAGTACCCATTAACATAGTGTACACTAAATAGCTCACTGAAAGATCTTATGATAAAAATTCCTGATATGCCATTCTAAGATTTAAATACAGATCTAGAATATGATGCACATTTAGGAATGAAAGAACAGAAGGTGGTTAATAAGGATTTCATACTACTTAAGCACTGTTTTAATTGCTAACTAGTTGATGTAAGATGCAGACAATCTGTTTTACCTAATGTGTATTAATAACACTCATCCCATGGAATGTGAAAAACTGTATAAATCAGTGTGTGTGTGTATGTGTTGTGTGTAATGGAAACATAGCTACTTCCTCCAGTTTTGCATTTGCTCAAAGTTCCATAGGCCTTGGAGCTGGGAGGGTGGCCTGACGTTTTAAGCAGGGTTCTTGTATTAAATCAATAAGGCAGGTCACTCAAATACTGTGGTCAGGACTGCCATTCTGAATGTAGGGGTATGAAGGCCAAAATTCATGGACTGTCCTAATGATCTGGTATATGGCATGTCTCTTCCTTTGTAATGGAGCACAGGGGAATCTGTTGAGTACTCAACTCCTGGCAGCACTGTCTCATGCATGGGGTGGGAGCCCGGGTGAGAGGACAGACTCCATGGCTGAGTGAGACCCAGTGCCCCTGCGGTGACATGACTGGGGACTAGAATTTAAAAACCAAGAAATGAGTGACATTAGTAAAATTAGTAAAGTTTTAAATAAATTATATTCAATTATTGTTTAACAATGCAATTAAAATTGCCATTAATAGCAACTAGGAGGCTGCGCCCCTTGTTTGCTACACTTGCCAACTCCCCTCTTTCTGGGGGTAAGTGTCTGTCTAGTGGGGAGGGGGCAGGAGTGAGCTGTGTGTGGGAAGTGGGCAGGAAGAGGCTGGGGTTAGGTGTCTGGCCAAAAGGGGAGAGTGCAAGAGCAGGGGAGGGTGCAGTAGCAGGTTGGGGGTAGGTGTCTGGCCAAGAGGGAGGGGGTGGGAGAAGACTGGGGGTAGGGAGTCTCAGCAGAAGGGGTGAGGGAGCTGGGAGGGCTGGCTTGGATGGTGGAGGGGATGCAGGGTGGCCCAGGATGAGGTTAGCCTTAGAGAGAGGAGGGAACCCGTGTGTGTGTTTGTGTTGGGATTGGATGGTGCAGGCCCCCCGGGCGTGAAGCGGAAGCCAGAGCTGGAACAGCCCATGCCTAAACGAGATGGTGCCAAGACTGGCCACAGCAAGTGGCTGATGAGGGAGGTGGAGGTGGAGGTGGAGATAGTTTTCTCATGCAAGTTTAGTGTAAAGACTGACAGTGAAATCAGCTTTATCTGACAAGCCAAAAAATTAATCCAATAACAAAATAATGGTGATTGGAAAAGTCACAAAAATGTAAGAACAATTATATTATTCCACAACCTAAATATAGTTCTGAAACATTCTGCTGTTATGGTCACAAAATTCTAGCTTACCATCCAGTTCACTAAATTCATTTCATTCACAAATTATGTCTTTGAATATATACACACACAAAAAACCCATACATGTATCAAGATCTAAATTAGAGAAACCAGCTGGGGAAAAATCAGTTTGCTGTAGATAAAATCTGTTCTTTGAACTGAAAAATATTGTATTAACATCAGTGCTTTACCATGCAAAATGACAGGGAGATAGGGCTGAGGATTAAAAAAAAAAGCCATTTCACCAAGAACATGCTAAATATAAACATGTTTCATACATGTTAAGAACATAAACATGAAGTTTATTACCAATGACATTATTAGCAAGCAATATTCTAACATGCTTTAGTTCTCTGGCAAAAAGTAACAAACCAGCAAAAAATTTCTGAGAATCTGAAGCTTTAACACAGCACTTTCCATTTTGGGAAAGGTTTGATAGAGCCTTGTGTAACCTGACGTCTCTCACACGTTCAGGTGAATGAAATTTTTCAGTTTAATCTAAAACACATAATTTATGTTTTATAAATGTTACCACTCGAATGTTGGCAACAAAGTAACACGACAGATCCCTGGAGCTAAAAACAGGGAGCAACCCCATTGGCTCATTTGGTACCTACAGGAAATGGAATGTGGAGCAGCTGCTCTTACCTGTTTTCATGTCCTTGTAACTGGAGAGGTTGAGGAGGTGGTGGCTGTGCTACGGGACTGTGGTGTGCTACAGGGCTCTGCTGTGCTACTGGACTCTGCTGAGCCATCGGGCTGTGCTGCTGGGCCATGGGACTCTGTTTCTCTGAGCTTGGTGCGGAAGCTGGGCTGTTCAGCTCTGCATAATGGGAAGCTGGAGATTAAAGAGCTGTCACAGTGTGGCATTTCACAAAGGGCAAAGGTAGACAAGAATAATTTCGATAACACTCTACCTCCAAGTATTTATGTTTGGTTGCTTTTATTATCTATGTTCATAATTAGATTTTAAGACATCTGAACCTACCGGACTTCATTTGCTCACCTCTGAGATCTTGGTCATTTTTACAACTGTGGCTGACATATCGGATATTTAAAACTCAATTGAATGGAGTGAAGAGTTTCGGTGTTTCATAGTTTCTCTTAAAAGGTTATAAATATTGATATTTGGAAACTTTTCTTTTGGGAGAAAGAAGAATCTTACTGCTTTTAGTTCAGTTATAGGATGACAAATGGGTGCAACAAGATTTAAAATGCTTTTGTTTGCTCCCGCTACTTCTGAATTCAAATAGAGTGTTACCATTGATTTCAATGGGAGAAGGCTCAGTTTCATTATGTGAGCAGTCAGGTTGGGTAGCAGAGAGTGCAACTAATGTTTATAGATACACATGATCAGATCTCAAAATCATTTGTATCACAATGGCATGCATGTACCCTGCGAAAACCCAGTCCTTACTCCACACATCCACGATTTAAAAAGATGAAGGGTAGGGAGAAGCCTACAACATGAAAATAAAGTGCTGGACTGTGGCTTTACCACAAACAAGGGAGACCAATTTGCCTCCAGGTTTCCCCTTGCTCCAGGTTGAGGGAAGAAGCAATACTCTGCTCTAGGCTTATATATGGCACAGATTATGTCTCCTCTTTTCTGGGATGTATGTTTATGTGTATGGGGGAGGGAAAGAAAGAAAGAAAGAAAGTGTGCTAGGGCTCTGCTCACAAGTACAACATACAAATATTTATGTTATATGTATGACTATTTTCAGTTTGATTTTTTTAGGATAGTTTAATTTTTTTTGTTTATTTTGGAACAAATTGTCAAAAATACCTCTAATTTTGCACCCAAAAAGTTCAAGGCCGAAAGAGCAAAGGGCAGTGGTGTGTATACATTTAATATTTAGATGTCTAATAGCACAGTTTGCATATGCAAGTGTGATCTGTGCTTGAAAATTTTAGAGGCGGTTTGAAAATATCCCTCATGTCTACTCTAGACACTCATACGTACCAGTCAAGTCATATCTTCATACAACTGCTTTGCATTTATATAGTACTTTTAAGTTGAGTGTATCTTACAAAGTAACTAGATCCTTTTACTCCTTTTTATAAGTGGGGAAACTGCTGTTTGATGTTAGGCATGTGCCTGGTATCAAGCCGCATGAAACCTGTGTTGTAACCTCTAGAGAAATCCCTTCTCACCAACAGCCCCAGAGTCTGCCCACGTTGCAGCACTCAATATTTCAGGTGGGCTTCTGATTTTTCTTTTTTATGTAAATTAACTAGTGTCACCATGGATGGATCTATTTGCTAGTATACATTTTGTTAGCTAAATGCCTTTAAAGTTGCGTTAAATGGCATGGCATGGATTATACACTAGATAGCTCAATGCCTGTAGAGATTTACAAAACAGATCCCTGGCAGATGTATTCCACTAATGTTAAATCTCTTTCTGAATGAAAAGTCTGAACAAATTTGAACTGGACATTTGGATCTAATTTCTCTTTGGAAAGGGTAAATGCTTTACAGCGTGTCTGCTAAGAGGAGCAAACCCGTGCTCTTCCTCAACATTTAGGACTCTTTCTTTCTTTCTTTCTTTCTTTCTTTCTTTCTTTCTTTCTTTCTTTCTTTCTTTCTTTCTTTCTTTCTTTCTTTCTTTCTTTCCCCCAAACACATAAACATACATCCCAGAAAAGAGGAGACATAATCTGAATTCATTTACTGAAGCCAGGGCAGCATTATCCAGGGCCAGTGTCTGCTAGTTTCCTCAGTATACTAGTAGAATATCGCTATACTCAGTGTGAGTAGAGCTGATAGCACTGCCAGAGCTGAAGGTCATTTAAATAGCACACAGATCAGCAAGTAATATTGGTTTCTGTATCTGGCATTCCTATCCATACTAGTATTCTGCTACTGGGACTTAAGTTCACAGTTTCATTAATGCAGTGGAATTCATAAACTAGCACTGCAGCTCTTTGAACTTAAATTACACAAAGCTCACATCAAAGAAACTCCACTGATTGGGTTGCAGGGTGATGCCCAGAATAATGAGTCTGGTAGCTTGTGTGCATCTGACAAAAGGAGCTTTTTGGAGCTTGGGTCCCCTATTTCACATAGTCACTTACATCTGTACAAAACAGCATCAAATCAAATGTCTCCCTTCACTCCATGGTGGCATTTTATATCCATTTTTGCAGTCACTCACTACAGGTATAAATGAATACACAAGATGACAGTTTGTGAGTCATTTATTTCCCACCGGCTAAAGACTTGATTTTTGTTCTCGTACACTTGTGAAAATAAGGAGTAACTCAACTGAAGACAGTGGAATTCAAAGTATAAAAAGGCGTGAGCTCAAAATCAGGCCTTTAGTACTTTACATCCATTGGCCAGAAGACAGATCTTCCACAAGTTTATAGCACACACTCTGCAGTCCTCCCTTAAGTTTCTTTAGGTTCTTTGAAACATACATCCACAATTAGATCATTCTCAAGAATGCAGATAATACTCCAGCTAGTTCTACGGTTGCAGCTGTAACCTTTATGTACTGCACATGCAATCTCTGAAACAAAATCTTTCAAATGAATTGGAGGTTACTTTTATCTTTCTTCCTGAACTTTAAGGCTCAATTACTTACCCTCCTGAGGAATGATGCGAAGTGTTACACTAAGACCTGCATCTTTAATTAGCTTCACAATATCGGCATGAGGCATGTTAATAATAGACTGGCCATTCACAGCTAAGATCCGGTCTCCGACTTTCAGTTTTGTACAGCGATCAGCAGGGCTTCCATCAATTATCCTCCCTATTTTATGGGGTACAGCTAGATAAGGAAAATATTTATAGTTAACAAATGTTACAACAGGTGGAGGTATCCACAGACAAATAAATGGTCACATTTTCAAGAATTTCCAAGATAAATTTAAAAACAAATAGGTCACAAAGCCAGTTATTATTTGTATTGCTATCATGTCTATAGACCCCCAGTGAAGGTTCAGTACCCTCCTGCTCCAGGTGCTGTGCAGACATGAAGTACAAAGCCAGTGCTACCTCAGAGGGCTTGCAAACTTTGCAGATGACATGATGCTACAAGCAGGTGAAATAAATGGATTCAGGGAGTGGCAGAAGAAAGGAACTGTGACAGGTTTTAATTTCATATGATAAATCGTAATCTCAGTTGGCTATATGGCTCTTACTGTGCAGAATTTCTTTTATTTTTAAATTTTATTATAACTACAATCTAGACATGTTTTCCTTTATATTCAAAGCATATTTTTAATTTGGAAAATAATTTGAATGGATCCATTCAACATACTGTTCTTGTCCCCTTCTTATATATGCTTGAAGAAAAAATGCAAATCATACCACAGCTTAATTGCAGTTTGAATATTCACATATCAGTGTGAATGTACAATTACAGCATAACTAGTGTCTGACACCTTTATGTGCAGTATGCACACACACCTATGTAAAGTTTAGCCTTACAATATTTTCAGCTCAGACTTGCTTCTTTCTTTGCTACCTTCCCCTTCATTCTCTCTATGTTCCATCTCATTCTCCTCACATTTTCTTATGATGTGTCTTTTCTCTGTTTCCTAATGTTCTTCCCAGCTCTTTCGTCTCCCATTTTCTCTTGCTATAAAATCTCTCCTCCTTATCTCAGATCATTTGCTTATTTACTAGATCTCTTGTCTATAGCTCTTCCTTTCACTTCTTGTCCTTCAGCCCACATTCACTAATTTCACTTCAGCACCCTTTAGCCCAGAATTCCTAGGTCTCATCATTGTCCTCCCTCTTTAGCAGAGGTGGCTGTTGGAAAGCTCCCACTTTCAAGCTCATCAGCATGGAAAGGGAGCCCTTTGGGCTTTCAGCTCCTGCTCAACCACCTTTCAGCTTTATCAAGAGTGGATGTGACTTTCAGGCTGACTGGGGGGGCCATACAAGACATAAGAACATAAGAACGGCCATAGTGGGTCAGACCAAAGGTCCATCTAGTCCAGTATCCTGTCCTCCGATAGTGGCCAATGCCAGATGCTCCAGCGGCAGTGAACAAAAACAGATAATCATCAAGTGATCCTTCTCCTGTCATCCATTCAGTGGCATAGGTGGGGGGAGAGGGGCGGTTGCCCCTGGGTGCTATGGTAGGGCTGCCAGTTTAATTCCCTTCTGCTTTCCCTCTCATCCCTCAGCTCACCTGCTCCTCTGCCCGCCGCCGCTGGCTGGAGCCTCCTCCCCATCTCTCTGCCCCCTGCCTGACCCTCCTCCATCTCCGCCTGGGGGTTAGTGCATGTGGGGGCCCGGCCCCAAACTAGAGGGGAAAGGGAAGATGCAGTACAAGCTCTTTTGCCCCCCTCAGGGTTAGGCTTAGCCATGTGCCAGGTTTGGGGCCCTACTGTGGTAGCGGTGGAGGCGCGGGGGCGCAATTTTTGCCTTTGCCCCCTGGTGCATAACACCCTCACTATGCCTCTGCATCCATTTTCAGACCCTGACAAACAGACGCTAGTGACACCATTCCTACCCATTCTGGCTAATAAGTACCGGCTAGTATATAAGGGCAAATCTACACAGCAGGGCTAAAACCAAAATAAGCTACGCAACTTGAGCGATGTCAGTTGTCTACTGTCTACATATCAGGAAGTCCAGGGCAGAGCACCCTTCCTCTGACTTCCTTTATTCCTTGTAAAATGAGGGTTACAGGAGTTGGGATAAGAAGTCCTCCAGCTCGACATTCGGTCGAAATAATTTTGACATTAGGTCAAAATAACGGCTTGCTGTGTGAACATGGACTATGTTATTTCAGAATAACATCAAAATAACACTGCTGTGTAGATATATCCTTAGACTCAGAATATGGAAATGATGATCTGCGGGTGTGGCACAACAGCGAGGAAACCCATTCTCATTGTTACAGGTCTCGCATTTTGTGGGGGAACAATTGATTGCCCCTAAAAATCAGGTGCACTATGTAGTTCCAAGTCCCACCTATCCTTTCCAACATGCCAAAGGACTCCTTGATTGTACTATACCCCATATTTCCCCACTTTTCTTTATTACAGGGATGTACCTGTAACAGTTTGGTAAAGAGCTACTCGGCAGTGTTGTATTATTCGTATGCTAATGGCAGGAAACTACTGATAATACACATCTCTACATCTCTGGACAGTTGAATTTCTACTCAAATTCTGAGTGGGTGAGTAAGGAACCATCGATTTCTTATACTATACTTTTATGATGCTCACTACTATGTGTCGTGTAACTGATAAGATTTCACGTGGCTGTACGACTTTCAATTACACAATAGCTAACATCCCGACTCTGAAACTTAATCTGTAGTCAAACTGCATACTTCTTTAATATTATGCTTCAGTCAAGAATATAAATTTAATTATAGTTTTAGTAATACTGACACAATGTAATTGCAGATGTACCATTGATTAGGACATAAGTACCCATAAGGTGGCACTTTGTTTGAAACTTTTCTTTACATTAAAGACTAAGGGTATGTCTACACTTGCCCCCTAGTTCGGACTAGGGAGGCAAATGAAGCATACCAAAGTTGCTAATGAAGCACGGGATTTAAATATCCCGCACTTGATTAGCATATTCGCGGCCGGTTGCCATTTTAAAATCCCAGTAGCCCGAATTAATTCACAGCGTGTAGACGCGGTAGTCCGATCCAAAACCCTTCCCTCGAATGAACTGTTATTCCTCATTGCACGAGGAGTAACAGTTAATTCAAGGGAGTGGTTTTGGATCGGATTACCGTGTCTACATGCGGTGAGTTAATTTGGGCTACCAGAATTTTAAAATGGCGACCGGCCACAAATATGCTAATCAAGCGCGGGATACAGGCAGTCCCCGGGTTACGTACAAGATAGGGACTGTAGGTTTGTTCTTAAGTTGAATTTGTATGTAAGTCGGAACTGTTACATATTGTCTGTACAGGCAGTCCCTGGGTTACGTACAAGATAGGGACTGTAGGTTTGTTCTTAAGTTGAATTTGTATGTAAGTCGGAACTGGTACATATTGTAGGGGAAACTCTAGCCAAACATTTCTCCAGAGCTCAGTTTTATTCTCCCACACCTCACTTCCCTCAGTCCTTTATTCTCAAGCTGAGGTGTCTGCTGAGAAAAGCCGCTCCGCGTCTCCCTGGTCTGCTGGGGGAGGTGCTAGCTTTGCATATCCCTGGTCTGCTGGGGGGAAGCAGCTAGTGCGGGGTTGCCTCACCCCGTTTGTAAGTAGGGATCTGATGTAAGTCGGATCCATGTAACCCGGGGACTGCCTGTATTTAAATCCCGCACTTCATTAGCAACTTCACTATGCTTCATTTGCCTCCCTAGTCCGAACTAGGGGGCAAGTGTAGACATACCCTAATAAATTCTGAGTGATCACATTTTGTACAAAAATACAGAGTTTATTCTCACACCATTGCAGTTGCATAATTTCCATATGTGTATACTAATGGAAGGCTAACTTTCCAAAATGAATAAAACAGCAACTTGACAGTGAAACAATTTACATTTAAAAAATATTGTTTGTATGAAATCACTTCATAAACTATACACTGTAGGTATAACAATCATTTAACCTGGGACTGAAATGCCACAGCTTTGTCAAATTACCAGAACAGTAGTATACAACAGTTTAGAACAGAAAGCAAAGCAGTCCCCCTTTGGAACTCTGGGGAGTTTAAGAAAGAGAAAAGTACTCAGATTATCCAGGCTGGAATTTTACTAGAATACCCTCAATAAAATTCCTGTGCCTGCCATTACTAACCTAGAGATGATATAGTACTGTCAATAGCATGGGGGTCCCATAAAGATATGGGTCACTGGTTTGGTACTGATGCAGAGTACACAGTGCCCCCTATGGGATGTCTACACAGAAGTGCTATTTTGGAATAACTGACGTTATTCTGAAATAACAAAGAGTATATCTACACAGTGAGCCCGTTACTTCAAAATAACTTTGAAATAACAGGCTTCTTAATCCAACTCTTGCAACCGTCATTTCACAAGGAGTAAGGGAAGTCATAGACTCATAGAATACTAGAACTAGAAGGGACCTTGAGAGGTCATTGAGTCCAGTCCCCTGCCCTCATTGCATGATCATCCCTGATAGATGTCTACCCAATCTGCTCTTCAATATCTACAGTGATGGCGATTCCATAACCTTGCTGGGTAATTTATTCCAGTGTTTAACCACCTTGATAGGAAGTTTTTCCTAATGTTCAACCTAAACCTCCTTTGCTGCAATTTAAGCCCATTGCTTCTTGTCTTATCATCAGAGGCCAAGGAGAACAATTTTTCTCCATTCTTCTTGTAACATCCTTTATCTTGTTAGTCTTTAAAGTGCTACATAGTCCTGTTTTTTTGTTTCAGCTAGACTACACTGACATAGCTACATCTCTATTGGTATAGAGAGTATGACTATTTAGTTTGCAGATTATAACAGTTGGGAAGGGTTGCAAGTACTTTGGAGGATAGGGTCAAAATTTTAAATGATCTGGACAAACTAGAGAAATGGTCTGAGATAAATAGGATGACACTTACTAAGAACAAATGCAAAGTACTCCACAAAGGAAGGAACAATCAGTTTCACACATATAGAATGGGAAGTGATTGTCTAGGAAGGAGTACTGCTGAAAGGGATTTAGGGCTCTACTCTGTGCTAATTAGGCTGCAATTGGAGTACTGGGTCCAGTTCTGGGCATCATATTTCAAGAAAGATGTAGAGTAACTGGAGAAGGTCCAGAGAAGAGCAATAAAAATTATTAAAGATCTGGAAATCATGACCTTATGAGGTAAGACTGAAAGAACTGG